GGTGCATAAGAATGTTATGCTCAGCCTGGAATACAATCATAAAGTTGAAAGTACCAGAGATTCCTAGAGGCATACCATCAGAAAAACTTCCTTGACCAATTGGGTAGATCAAGAAAACAGCAGTAGCAGCTGCAACAGGAGCTGAATATGCAACAGCAATCCAAGGACGCATACCCAGACGGAAACTAAGTTCCCACTCACGACCCATATAACAAGCTACACCAACCAATTTTCTTTGTTTACTCACCGCTACATGGAACAGACTCTGTTTCTCTGCTATCGTTCTTCGTTAGATCTATTCCTCCATATATTAGAAAATTTTAGATATTTAATAGTGATTAAAACGGAAAGTGGGAGGATAATAGTTTTAAAGTAACAGAGTGGTTTTAAATACAACAATTGAAATGTTTAAAGTTGTTAACTGATTGAAAGGAAAATGAAAAGTTATTAATTTAAATTTAAATTAATTAATTAAAAGGAAAATGAAAAGTCATAACACATGTCAATTGTTAGTGTGTCCACATATCCAAATTATGGAGAGAGTTAGATGATTTATGCTATTATCGAAAGAGGAAAAACTTGGATTTATTTTGAAGATTGTATACTATGTTTTGGTCGTTTTGTTGATGCTTAAGGTTACACTGGTTGTCACTTGTCATTGAGAGCAATAGAGAGTCAAATTTAATTCTTCTTTGTTCGTTTATCCAAATTTGTTTTTTCGCGGCTGTATCATTTCGACGTAGTTCTCATATATATATAACTATTTTTCGTTTAATAATCTCTCAAAATTTATATTTTGGCTTATATGAATACAGAAGGACACATGAGTGCCCGCCACAACACGTACTGTACTAGTCTGTGTTAATGAAGAAGCCAATTTCCTTATGTTCTCCCTTGCATCACTTTTATTATCACCTTGAGTTTCAAAATATTTTTGTCTTCTTATCAATTGACATGAGCAATAAACATAATATATGCGCGTTTATGTATGCACACACAAATAGATAACACGCAATCCGAATCAAAGCAAAAGATAACTTAGCGTTACTCATGGCTTCGGAAACAACCCAACAATCTTATCCTTCTCTTCACTTTGTTCTCTTCCCTTTCATGGCTCAAGGCCACATGATCCCTATGGTCGATATTGCAAGGCTCCTGGCTCAACGCGGCGTGACTATAACCATTGTCACGACGCCTCACAATGCAAACCGGTTCAAGAACGTTCTTAACCGAGCCATCCAGTCCGGCTTACCCATCAATCTTGTGCAATTGAAGTTTCCATCTCAAGAATCAGATTCACTATTAGGACATGAGAATTTAGACTTGCTCGATTCATTGGGGGCGAGGATATCCTTCTTCAAAGCAACTAGTATGTTTGAGGAACCGGTGGAGAAGCTCTTGAAAGAGATTGAGCCTAGGCCAAGCTGCATAATCGCCGACATGTGTTTGCCTTACACGAACAAAATCGCCAAGAACTTTGGTATACCAAAGATCATCTTTCATGGCATGTGTTGCTTCAGTCTTCTTTGTACGCACATCATGCGCCAAAACTATGAGTTTTTGGAAACTATAAAATCTGACAGCGAGTACTTCTCCATTCCAAACTTTCCTGACAGAGCTGAGTTCACAAAATCTCAGCTTCCTTTGGTCGTAGTTAATGTTGGAGATAGGAAAGAACTGCTTGACAGAATGACAGAAGGGGACAACACTTCTTATGGTGTGATAGTCAACACGTTTGAAGAGCTCGAACCAGCTTATGTTAGAGACTACAAGAAAGTTAAGGCAGGTAAGGTATGGTCCATTGGACCCGTTTCCTTGTGCAATAAGGTAGGAGAAGATAAAGCTGAGAGGGGAAACAAATCAGACATTGATCAAAGCGAGTGCCTTAATTGGCTTGATTCTAAAGAAGAAGGGTCGGTGCTATATGTTTGCCTAGGAAGTATATGCAATCTTCCTCTGTCTCAGCTCAAAGAGCTTGGACTAGGTCTCGAGGAATCCCAAAGACCTTTCGTTTGGGTCATAAGAGGTTGGCAAAAGTATAGCGAGTTATGTAAGTGGATCTCAGAGAGCGGTTTTAAAGAAAGAATCAAAGAAAGAGGCCTTCTCATAAGAGGATGGTCCCCTCAAATGCTTATCCTTTCACATCCTTCCGTTGGGGGGTTCTTAACGCACTGTGGATGGAACTCAACTCTTGAAGGAATCACCTCGGCCGTTCCATTGCTCACATGGCCGCTATTCGCAGATCAATTCTGTAATGAAAAATTGGCAGTGAATGTACTAAAAGTTGGAGTGAGAGTTGGAGTTGAAGATCCCATGAGGTTGGGAGAAGAGGAGAAAATAGGAATATTGGTGGATAAAGAAGGAGTGAAAAAGGCAGTTGAAGAATTGATGGGTGATAGTAACGAAGCTAGGGAGAGAAGAGAAAGAGTCAAAGAGCTTGGAGAATTAGCTCACAAGGCTGTGGAGGAAGGAGGCTCTTCTCATTCTAACATCACATTGCTCTTACAAGACATAATGCAACTAGCACAAATTAAGAATTGATTGTATCGTTGCTCTTGATTGGATCATTGTTCATGTAATATCTTCTTTAAGGTATCGAGTTCGTATTACTTTTACTTTGGTAAAAGAGTTCGTATTACTTTTTCTGCCAAAATTATGAACCCAGTTACCCAGTTTTAACTAATAGAGTTGAAACAAGCGAATCTGTAATGATGGGACAACAGACCACTTTTGGACGATCTAATTCCAAATACATAACGTCAGCACTAACAAGTAATAAGGAATTACAAAAACAATCCAGAAATACAAATAGCAAATAAGAAACGATAAGACGAAAGCCCTTAAAAAAAGAAAAAAAAACGATATGACGATTATATTTAGCAAAAAGAAAAAAAAAAACGATAACACGATTATAGTAGACAAGAATTAGTTGAGAAAATAGGACAAGTTGAGGTCGGAGTGAGGTTGATGACAACAGCTTAATGTTACGACAAGTTGATTAGTTTATCAAGAATACTTTCTCATCCTCATCCTTTCATCCATAATTTTTTGGTCTTTCTGTTTGTTGTAGTTTATAATATGCAGTATTGTCTATAGAGAGACAGAGTCAAGTTTGATTTATCTCTTTTTTCTTTAATCCAAATTTTTTTGTGTGGCTGTTACCATCTCCACGATCCTTTCGACTGTTTCTCTAATTCTTTTTGGCTTATAGTTAAATAAATACAAAAGGAGACACGAGTCCCCGCCACCAAATGTACTATAGTAATCTTTGTGAACCATATTGCTTTCTGTAACGAATACGCCAATCTGCTTATGTTCTCTAGCTCTTACATACATCACTTTTTTAATTTTTATTATTTGGTTCACTTCCAATTTTTTTCTCCATGAGTCAATAAACATCTCTAATATATTAAAAGAGAAAACACTATAAAATAAACCTTTGTGTCATGTGGTATTAACAAAAATGCCATGCTGAGGTGTCATCATTAGGTTCATTCTCAAGGTAAGTTTTAATTAACCCAAAGATTACTAGACTAATTACAATGTAGTGCCATTCATATTATTTTGGTTAGAGACATTATAAATTTAATTTGACTAACCATTTAATGAAATATTAATAAAATAAAATATTATTCTCTTTCCTTAATTGGTACATACAGAAAATTAATAAATAAGGAAGATATGATATGATATTCAATTTAATTGTATCATAATAATAATTTCTTTAAAAATCATTACATATCTCCTATCATCTTTGTTTAACTGTATTTATAAAACAATTTGAATCACAATATTAAAAATATAACAAAGAAAATCGAATTTTTTTTATGTATATGCTATGATTTAAATTTTTAAAACAACCATAATCACTTAAACTGGTAGAAATTTCCATATTGGATATGTTGTTGTATAAATGTGTAGATATATATTATTAAAAAAAATGATGTGCAGTGTTATGAGTAGGAAACCTCATTTAGTAGGTATTTAAATGTAATTTTTATTTAATTTAATATAGTTTTTAGTTAAATCGTATAATTAAATCGAATAAAATAATTATTTTTATATATTTTTTATTTGATCAAAAATTTGAATATTACTCCATTTATTTTAACTTTCAATATAAAATTAATTATATTTTTGTTGATTTGATAATTTGGATTATGCATATTGTTTTCTTATTGGTTGGATTGTTTTGGAATTATAATAAAATATGTTTTAATTTTAAAAGAAGAAAAACATTAGTTATAATCTGTGCACATATCTAAACTTCTTATCATATAAAATACATGAGGTATAATTTTTTTTAAACAATAACATTTTATTTTCAGATTTTTTTTGGTTTTTAAATTTTATTATATTGTAAATTGAGTTTTATGTATCTCACTTAAATATATTAATTTAATATATGGCAATACGGTCAAAGCTTTAATTTGTTTACCTTTTTCAAAAAATGGTTTAAAATGTTTAATTTTCACATTATAAACAAATACAATAACTAACTATCGCATAAATTTTTAAGATAGTTAAATAGACATTTTTAATAAAAATACAACTTAGAAATCATCACCCCGTGCAGGGCGCGGGTCAAACCCTAGTACTTATATGTAAACACAGACAAGTACAAACAATCTAAGTGAAAGAAAAAGAAAAAAAAAAGTAAAAACTTAAGAGAGTTTCTCATGGCTTCAGAAACAACTCAACAACTTCATCCTCCTCTTCACTTTGTTTTATTCCCTTTCATGGCTCAAGGTCACATGATCCCCATGGTCGATATTGCAAGGTTATTGGCTCGGCATGGCGGGATTATAACCATTATCACGACGCCTCACAATGCTGCCCGGTTCAAGAACGTTCTTGACCGGGCCATCCAGTCAGGCTTGCCCATCAATCTTGTGGAGGTGAAGTTTCCATCTCAAGAACCAGGTACATCACAAGGACATGAGAATTTAGACTTGCTCGATTCATTGGCGGCGTCAATATCTTTTTTCAAAGCAACTACC